GGATGTAATCATCATGCATGCTATAAGCACAACCAAACTTGACTTTACTTTTCTCATTCTATGTGCAGATCACCAAAAGCCTTTTCTATGCCATTTGTGAATAAGTTTTCAGAATATTTATAGGAAGGTATAGTTGATGGCATTTATTGCATAGATTAATGGTAAATAATTGTAGTATTTATAGTTTGACTTTCGATAGTTTTTGTAGTTGGAGTTATTTATTGCATGATAATGATTTGGTTGTAATATTTTCCATTCACATTTAACCATAAATTTACATAAAGTGTTTAAAAAAATGATATCCATGAACATTGTACCCTCCTTGCTAGAGTAAGAAATAACATGTAACACCTCACAATTAATACAAAATTTTCACATATTTTAATTTATATTTCAAAACAACCAGTGTATTTTATTATTAGCACAACATACTAAACGTAGTATTAATATATAAAACATAATTATAACTATGACCCGAGGCAAGTATTATAAAGTTGCATACAAAATACAAAATTGTACATCATGTCCAGTCTTCTGTTTTTCCATTATTGCCTTTCCTCCGAAAAAGGTGCTAGGATCTGTAAGCACAACAAAACTAGAAAAGGTAAGTTATAAAGCTTAGTGAATAATTTCACTATAGAAATACAGGAAAAGCCTCATGTATACAACTGGGGATTAATCGATGCGCGAAAGCTGGTCCGAAAACACTCGTTAAGAAAGTTCATTTTCCAAAAAAAAAAGATCGAGAATATTCCAATGGATAATATTATAAACATATGACATTAAACAATATAAATTAAGACACCAACTTTATGATGCTATTAGTTTCATTAACTCAACTCTTTTGGATATAGTCATCAAGTAATTTGTTATGAGACTCACCAAAAATGTTAAGTATTTTCATCAGTAACTCATTACAAGGTTTTTAAGCCATACGTTGCGGCAGGAGTATAAGCTAGTATAATCTTTGGGTCATAATATGTACATGTTATTTTAACGTATTAAAACATTACACTTCGAAAACAATGCCCATTTAGTTTTATCTTATTAAGACATTACACCTTGCATCGAAAACTGTACCTTTTGAAGTATAATTTTGTAATAAGAAAAATAAACTGATTAAATGAAATAAGACATTTCGAAAATAGGATGGTTATATAAACAAATCAATGGAAGTTAGTTCATATCGATCACACTACACATAGTATCAATGGTAAAGTAGTACATTTTATAATTTAAATACATACACTTCTACAAACACATGGAAAATACCCCATTTCTACAGTGTAAACAGGGAACAACCTATTTGGCAAGAACCTATCAAATGTAGTAATTGGATTGAGGAAAATAACAACAGAGCATGGACCTCCAAAAGAAAAGACAAATTGTATATCTAAGGCAATGTGAATTAACTACCTTTCGACCATTATTTTTTTATTTATTATTATTATTATTATTTTTTGCGTTAATAAGACTCTTTTTACAGACTTGGACTTGTTATCATTTTTCACTGCAAAGAAGAGATTAAAAAGGTTTAAAAAATAGAAAATGAGAGCAGGTTAAACAAATATGCTTTTACATTCTAATTGTACTTGTCATTGTCATTCCATTGTAAAGATGGGGATAGAAAGAGTGTTTAAAAATGAAAGCAATGTAAATTAAGTAAGTGCTCCATATTTTAAGTGAATTTAAAATAGAAAAATGAGATGGGCTTTGAAAACAAAAGAAATCATTTCGATCCTAGTAAATTGCTTCATCATGACATATTCATATCCACTATAATAATTCATGCTTTTAGACTTTGCTTTATCATCATTTCGAGAACTAAAAAATTAGCAAGTTGTAAGAACCAAAAATTAAGCAAATCTACAAAATGCTAAACCACAACAAATGGCAAAATCACAAAAATCTACTTTCATATGTATCACCTTTTCATAGAACTCCTGCCAATCTCACGATTTACATTGGCCATCTAAGTTGTTAAATAATATAGACACCATAGGCATAAATATAATTATAAAACGAAAAAAATATAAGAAAATATTCCAATACAGAGCAAACAATCGTCAGGCTTCCTGATGAGATAACTACAAATGATTAAAGATCAATAACTCATTCAAGTTGATGAAAAAATATCAGATTAATTCTTAATTAAGGGTTAAATTGTTGCAAAATTATGTTAGTGATGTATAAGAGAACCTATCTTGCTCAATGTGTTTTCCAAGATTAATAAGAAAAAACTTTGGAAGTACAATGCTAGAAGCAGTTTTTTGATTAAAAATACAATGAAACAAAATTGCTAGAATTGAGTGCGAGGGTGTATTTATGTGTGGGGGGATAGGCATGGGTGAAGAAGGATTTGAAGACATCTATGTCAACAACACCTAGCTGATATTTGGTTGTCAAAGACATCAGTAATGTCAACAACTACTTCAAACATGTCATTAATTTCAACATTTTGTTACAATGTTGAAGTTTTAAGAAATGATATGAGCACTTA